GGTAGTGCTTTATGCAAAATATATGGTAGTAATGCGATAAAGCTGAACAATTTATGAACTCCCTGCTACGGGATAGCTCGCTTGTAATTGGAACAGATTTCTGGTCTACTGATACAGTTTGCCCAGTCTTCCTCGCAACAAGATTCAAATTTTTCAGGAAGCGTACGCTGCTTTTTATTGCAAAATATCTTCTAGCAATTTCACTGACATCATGAGACCTATTTAGCTGAAACTCAAAAGTTTTTCATGTGATATGACGGCCTAGTTCTTCGAAGCGCATCATGACTTTCGTGCTGCGCACACGTCACTTTGCAGGCAGTGAGCACGACTATTGGTGGCGGGCGATTGTCGCCAACTTCACTGTTGGAAAGGCTGATTAAGGTGTGGCCAAATGCCCTCTCGCACTCCTCCCATCAATGACGCCGGCAACAACTGCCAGCCCCTAACAATCGTGTGCACTGCATCTAAGCAGAACAAAGCAATTCGCTAACATTTTCATTTCATTTTTCATTTTATTTGCCTCTGCGAAAATTCAGTTTGATTTCTCTAGGAATGAGTACAATAGTGTCACTAAAAAATATACTACGTAAGGTTTAGAATTTAGTATTACAAATGCCATGTTTACGGAAGCCTGAATTCATTGTTTTCTCTAAAAGCAAACAACCTGCTGCCCGCCCTGAGGACGTGTGCGTGAGCATTTCTAAGAGAATGCCTTATTATTGACATGGTTTCAGCGAGCCTGTTCCAACAAGAGCCCGATGTGGTCGTGCTCATCTTTGATAGTGGAGAACCTACGAATTGGAAAGAAGCGGGATTCGAGAAGTTCGGTAGTAGAGGAGAGCGTATGCGGCCATCTAAAGAATCAGCAGTCGCGGACTAAGGATTACACGATGACCAATTGATCCCGCCCATTACCGAGCTGTGCATTCGTAGGATTCCTGCATTCTCCTAGTGGGCGGGATTACTCGACTCCCATCTTATCCTTTCGGGTACACAGAACCAGCGAAACATAGTAGAAACGTATCTGTTACAAGGAAAAGAAAATCGGAATATGGGAGAATTTGCGAAAAGGGATAGATTGGTTTGCTGCGGATGATAAAGCGCGTCCGCGCAGCTGCGTCTGCCAGGGCGTTTCGCGTTTTTTTTTGTTCCAGCCAGGACAAACACTACCTTGTCACACATCCACCCAAATCACGCGCTCTGCGGAATCGCAAAATTTTCCAGATCCATCAAACTCTATCCTGGCGTCGAATATTCCCAATCATAGAGCCCAACATTCGCAAAGTACGAACGCGGCCTAATCCACGAGAACGGAGACGAACAATAGTACTTTGCCGCGCGATTGCGCGCGGCAAAGTACTATTGTTACATGCGTGATAAGCGGCATACCGTCAATGCACGCCAGTTTATCGGTTGGAACAATGGAATCAATGTGAATTCGTGCACTAGCAAGATTCCGTGCCTAGTAATATCAAAGTTTCCTGTCCCTTTAAATTTGAATTCAAATGGTCGGGCAAGATAGTTCTTTCGCGGGGCGACGTCACTTCTTCCCACCCCACCAGCGCGACATGTCACGATTTTCTTGTCACACGCCGGGAACCTCAAGCTTATTTGGCAACTGATATGACATGTAATTTGCTTGCGTTGAAAAAATATTACGACGATCAAAGGAAGAATGCACCAACCGCAATGACATTGACGAACGTTGTTTTCCCGGAATTTTGCAATCCCACCAACGTCAACTCCATTTCTTCCTTCCAAAACAAACTCCGGAACCATTCCAGCACCCGATTTATCATGGCAAACATTCTGGATGGATCAAGACGGTCAAATGGACCAAGCCCAACTGAAATATTTGAGTTCTGAAGGTGCTCAAGCACGATTTCACCGTCGGCAAACTCCCGACTAACTTCACTAATGAACATAAATTATGATTTTCAAGTTGAGGAGTGATGGATGTCGAGAAAGATATGCATGTTACGTAGAGAAAGCAAAACAGCGGATCTCCGACCGGATTACAGGTATGAATTCTTGTCATGAATTTACTGGAATACTGAGTTAGTCAGGCCAACAAATGGCGATGACACATGGAAATAAAATGAGATACAGGTCTGACAAGAAAACAACAACAAATCAGTTCCCTGAGAAAAAGTCAACATTGAAATCGCATACATCGAAGACTTCCTCAGACTTCCTGAGGTCTTTCCTGCAAAAGGACATGCAATTCGTACTAGTCGAAAAATAAAAAATTGAAGAACAGGCAATATCGATTGTAGATAACACTGAAAATCACTAGCGTAGCACTTTTCATCCCATGGTCTTTGGCACATTTTGATTAGCTCACCTCTGGTTAGATAGCACGAAAGGCTTCAATAATTGGCCGACATTGTGCGACAATCAATACAGACATATCGCATGTTTTGAAGCCACTCGAGCTCACTAATAACGCTAACAGGTCACTCTCACCTCGAGGATACCCCTGGGCAGCATCTGCGCTTTACCCAAACCAACGGACCTGATGGTTCAACGAGAAGCACCCATTTGAACTTAACAGTAAACACATAAAAAGTAATTTGTCATACTTGCATACCTCATACTGAAGAGCATTTAAAGGGCCGTCGGCAAGTAATTCGATTGAATTCCAGGCGTCCCGAAACGATTACGTGCGTGCGGTACATTTTGCGGGGCTGTTTTGAGCACTTTTTCAAGCAGGAGGACCCTCGTATGAGTGTTCAGCGACAGCTGCGGGAAGATTGGGATAATAGGGAGTACGAACAGGTATGAATTGAATTTTTGTGTTTCGAAGGAATAGCATTCACTCGTTGCAGATCATTGCGGACAACGTCAAAAACATCGCCAACTTCCTGTCCAGTTTTGGTCTGTTTTTCAAGTTGTTGTGGTGCTTTTAGGAAGATATTGGCACTATTCAAACATTACTAATCCAAGAAACGAAAAAATTCTGCTGAAACTTTGCCTATACGGGTGATTGGGTGTGCTGGTCAGGCGTATGACGTTTTTGACGCTGATGCCATTTGGCGCCACAACTTTTCCCCACTAAAGTTGGTATAAACTTGCATGCTGGAGCTGTACGGTGTCCTGATCACAACTGTGACATCCATTTTAGCCCTAACATCATTTGGCGCTACACCATTTTCCACCGAAACCGATCAAAAGCTTAATAGGGTTGTTTGATGCACTGATTAAGAATATCGCATTCATTTTTGCATAGCAACCCTATTTAGCGCTCTGCTAAAGCTGAGCCGTGTGGGAGAGATGGATGTTATGTTCGTAAGGCCGCTTTCATACATGACGACGTTGCAGAAATGACGAAATTGCAGACAGGAAATGTATACGCATCGATTTGAAAACCGCATTTCTGCAAATTCCGCGGAATTTGCAGAAATGCCGAAATGACGGACAAAGAAGTGATAGGGATCGATCGCTTGGTTCCTGCCGTCGTGCGGAATCGGGAGAAATGCAGAATCTGCAAATTCCGCATTTCTGCATTTCTCCCAATTCCGCGGAATTTGCAGAAATGCCGAAATGACGGACAATGACCTGATAGGGATTGATCGCTTAGCCTCACCAGCGGAATTTCTGCATTTCGGCATTTCTGCACATCCGCACTTCCTGCATTTCTGCATATTCCGCGGTTTTTGAAATCGATAGACACATTTTCTTCTTCTGCAAATTCCGCGGTTCTCTCAAGTCCGCATGTATGCAAATTCCGCAGATCTGCACATTCCGTGGTTCGGCATTTCTGCGTCATGTATGAACGCGGCCTAATCAGCATGTTACGTCACCCCCATATTCAAGTTTTCATCGACTCCGGTGATCCAGGGTGTTGCCGGCGCCTTGTGGCGCAGGCACAGGCAGTTTCAAGCCAACGGATGTGATACTTGTGTTCAGGAGTTAGAACCACTGTTCGAGTCAAGTTTTCAGCAAATTTTGTGGTTAGGGTTTTTGGGGACAGCGTCTGTGGCGCGGGCGCCTGACATTTTCAGACAAGGTGGATGCGGCATTCGTGTTAACGATGTCGAACTACCCCTGAAAACGAGTTTCCAACCAACTCTGCCTTTGTAGAAAAAAGCCCGTGAAAACTGGCCTGATTTTCGAAGATGGGAATAGTAATAGTTAAGTAGTGCTGAAATCATCCATTGTTCACTACTAAGTAAACGGTTTTATATTCAGAGCTCTCCTGTAGAAGCAAGCTTGCTTCACTGAGTGATAAACTCAATCTTCTCGAGAAGAAAGTTGAATTCCTTGAAGCGAGGGTTGGTTATTTTCGGCGCTGTCTGCTTCCGTTAGACGGGCTCTAACTACCAAGTTTTGTAAACAACTTCTTTACATTCTCTCATGAACAAGCATTCATTATGGAAAGTAAACCACTGCAATGTTTGTTTCTTGATGATTTCGTAACGGTCGTTAATCTTTTCTTATCTTCATTATTGCTTATGTAAGTGTTCCTGTTTTGCACTTAATCTGCACATCATCCGTGTCTAGATCACCAGGGGAGACACATTGACGTAAAATGTCAACCGCTGGAAAAGTGATCAGAAGTGGTACAAGTGCTGTACGTCAAGTGGCACCAGTGCAGTCAGTTAGCAAAGATCAAGCTCGGCGTGCTGTGCTTCAGGTGTACAAAGATTTGTGAGTTCTACAAATTTAGTGGATGGTTTATTGTTCAGGATGCATTTTGGGGCGCAAGTCCGCAAGGGCTGCGTTTACACCCTACGATTACGTCACCGTAAACGTAACCGACGTTTTCGACGTCGAATCGGGGCACAGCCTGACTCGCTGCGGATGATGGGGCGTGTCCGCGCGGCTGCGTTTGGCCCGCTTCCAAACCCTATCTCTGGCAGTTTTGAAGGAGATATGTGGCAACAACTGGTGGAACGACTGATAACGGACGAAATGGCACAGCCTTGTTGCTTACCGAAAGAAGAAAAGAAGAGACATGCACGCCCCCTTGCCCTCATCCTACATGGCTATAATCTTCTAAGTGGGTCGAAAACGTTGATTACGTCGGTTAGGCAGCTTTGTTGACTGTGAAGACTGCGATTTGGGAGACTCGGCGTTAAGAGATTGCACGGCGAGGAACGTGTACGTATCGCTTTGGCCATCGGGGAAATTGGTCGATTTGGCTATTTGAGCGACTCGGTGATGTGCTGTTTTGGAAAATTGCCAGATCACCGTAATTTCTCGCGACTGGCGTCGATCGATACTCATCCATCCTTTAGAGCGGGTTCAGACTTCGCGATCGCGCGATTGGATCGCGCGATCCGATCGCGCTACTGAGGGTGAAATTACTGCGGGAGGGGGTCATGTTCGTTCATGTTCAACTCAACTTAACAAAACAACAACAGCAAGTTCTGGGAAGGGATTTTGCGTACTAATATGCAGCCATTTCTGAGAGATGCACACAATGCTGTATCCTGCCTCCAATAGGCAGTTCCAAAAACGATATAAAAGTAAGTTCGACCTTTTTTGATGTCTTTTATTCCGTGTTCATATTCGCAATACTGACGTTTGCAGAAACCGTCGAAAGGAAAGGTTGTGTATAGACCTGGAGGATGGCAGAACAAACAAAGCAAACACAATGTGACAAAAGTAAAGTGAATATCTGGAGGACTGGCAAAATCGGGGGAAGGGAGAGAAACAACATCACCCGCTGTTGAAAGTTCTGCGTGTCTTACTTTTGGAACAAGATGTTCAATACTCCGCTTGAACGTACTCAGATGCAAAATTCAGTATAATAATTAGCATTGTATATTTAGTACTATTTTACATAGGAAATAATAAATAACTCAAAGATATTTCGAAACGTTCCTTAAAATTAGGAGGGCGTATGTACACAAAGGAAGAAAGAAGGAAAAGAGAGAGAGAGAGAGAGAGAGAGAGAGAGAGAGAGAGAGAGAGCAGGATCAATAAACATATACGCACATAACCCCCTCCCGCAGTAATTTCACCCTCAGTAGCGCGATCCGATCGCGCGATTACGATCGAGCGCGATCGCGAAGTCTGAACGCGCTCTTAGCGCGCGATCGCAAAACACAGTCTCCTGAATCGCGGAGTCGCTCGGCATTCTCAATAGCTAGATCGATACCACCCATAGCTCGTCATACAGTCTCTATGTTCGCCGAATCTCCTCAGTCTCAAAATGAGTGCGCTATTACGTCGATCACGGCGACGTAATCGTAAGGTATAAACGCAGCCTAAGAGATGTATTTTCTAAAATCCTGGATACTCCTGTAAAAGGACGAAGTACCATTCCCAGTTTCCCTATTTTGCGCGACATATCTTTTTAGAGGCACAACGAAACGATGTGAGTCATAAAGAGAAGTTCTTTGCTGAAGTGCGAGGAGAATGAGTTTCTAGGCGGGTGATCCAAATCCTTTGAGGCGATATCCTTCTAGCAGGCAGCATGATAGCGTACACCATCTTTGAAATGACCTTTTGACGTAGGGCGCCCTACAGATGCGCTATAGATGAAGAAATATCCTATCAGAAACTGGCTGGTATCGCTTCTTCAGAACATTTAGAAATCATCCTTGTATGGGCACAACCTTCAGCCATTTCAAATTTGGAAGAGCTTTTTGTCAGGAAAAGTAGAACCGGACGCGGATTCTCCTTGAGTGCTTAGTATCACACTTGCCTACCTGTAACGAGCTGGCAAAATATGAGATGGGAAAAAAATGATTGTTGGCGAATATCTGCTTGCGGGCTTCAATCTCTCGAATGTCTAATTCCCCTCAACAATCGAACGAAAAGGAGCAACAACTTGTTGTACCAGCTTCTTACAGACATTATGACCCTTGCTGAAATTATAGATTTCGAATCCGAAGCGTTTGAAGACATCACCCAAGTGCTGATTTCTACCTTTAACCTACGGTACATGCTTTCAAAGAGTAGATTTTGAGAAGAGCTATCGTGTAGTTCGCTGCGGACGGTTGGGCGTGTCAGTGCGGCTGCGTTTGGCGCGGTGCCAAACTCGTTCTCCACAGTTGTTGAAGCGGGCAAGTGACAATACTGTATCATATCCTTCGTATTACTCTTTTCTACTATTTGTCGTTTCAACAAGAAGGCAGAGAACGGCTTTGACGGGGTGACACACTCATACTGGCTGACACGCCCAACCGTCCGCAGCGAACTAGAGAGTAAGTCGGTGTTCTGAAAGTCACCTTGGTCTTGTCGTATACATAGTAACGTTTATTTAGCAGTTTTTCTACAGCTGTTTTTTCAGGCAACGCTTAACTCCAACTTTCTGGTGGGACTATGGAATGCAGGACATGCCGCTAGGTGTTTTCCGTTCTGTCCTTAAGCAACAATTTATAAAGAATTCTCACATCGAGGACATTCGTATTATCGACCGACTTGTTGGTGAAACAAGACAAGTAAGTGATTATTCTAATGTTCCTATGTACATCAGAGATTCAAAATGGAGTTTTCTGCCGTAGAGGACATACAAGCCACAGCATAGCACGCGAACGGGCTCTATATTCCAGCTAGGTGTCTTGACGAACTGCAACAATGTCTCGTTCAATCAATTGAATATGGTCCTAATTCCCCATGAATACCCACATCATTTGCAACTTCTCGTGCACCGCCTTCGCGGCGACTCAGAAGTGCTGAAGTACATCACAGCTTATCGGCCCAAGGAATGAGAATAATATAGTCAACATGGTGGTCGTCTTATTCTCGATAAGACTGTCTGTAAGAACACATAAAACTTAAGACGGTTCGATCACAGTGGAGAAGAGCTTCTCCAGTATTAACAAGATGCTTGTTCATCCTGAAAATTTTAAATCTTCTCTCTAGGGCCGCGTAGGTTCCTTTCTAGGAGGGTGTGGTGGAGTTGAGGGCGAATAATTTCCCTCACTCCCCCACCCCCATGGCTCCCCTCGGTGGTATTTGCAGGAAAAGATTGTATGCGTACCACCGCGTTCCGTGATTTTCCCAATTCTACAGATCTATTTTTGAGCATTGCCTTCTCAGTCTGCTGGACAATGGAGAGAGAGATACGTATGGTTTAGAGCTGGAAAGTGGATGAAGAATCGAAGTATTAGGAAGTCCACATCTACCAGATTCGGCGATACTGCTCGACTGGAATCGCAGGATCCTGGTCTTCTGAACAAGGTCTCTGAGCGATATGCATCTGGCCTTCTTCCGGGTGCGCCAAATTTTTCTGTTTTCGACTGAGCGATTCTCAGATTATTTAGTGGGAACGACAAGGACCTTAGTTGGAACGACATGGTTCGACGACAGATTGGCGCTGTGCGTGCAGTTGCTTTTCAAATGTGAGGTATTGAGGTCGCGTCGGAGGCATCACGATTCTCCACAAAGCTTCGTACAGGGTATGCACCTTTTCACGCCGAGAGGCGGGAAAACATAAAAATCGTTTTGAGAAATCCGGAAATTAGAATATTAACCTAAGCAGTGGGAATTCGCGAATATTGAATATTAACCTCAAGCAGTTCATTTCGATTGGGGACCATGACTGGGTTCTTGACTTGTATGTTATCTTTTATGACAACGTGAACCAGTTATTTTGAAAGTTTGTTGCGACTACGTCAGAGGTATAGAGTGTGTCTTGGGTCTTGGTTTATAAACGATTCACTCTGCACAGCGAAAGCCTTCCCTCATGTAAAGAAATGGAGAATCTCGGATGGGAGAACAATTTGACCCCATGCCCCAAAGAGCGCAAAAGCAAAAATAACAGTTTTTAGTCAGTATAGTAAGAGAGATTCATTATGCTGTCCTTATGCAGTTAGTATAACGTCATACCATTGGTAAGCGTGGAAGGTTTTATTCAAAAAAAAATCAAGAGCTAAACAGATGAAGTAATATTTTGATGTTAAGTAAGTTAGTTCACGTCCTTATCGATGGCCTGCTCCCAGGTAGCGGGGAGCATGTGCACACGCAGCTTTTTTTCTTCCAGCAAGTACGGATGAGATGCTGTTGATTCAGTTACGGTGATCGAGAAGTGGTCCTGACATTCACCACTAAACGCTTCCAGATAACAAAGCGGTTGAAGTCGCACGGCTGCAGGTCAGATAAACACGTCCGACCTAATGCAGGTCTATTTTCTCTGTTGACGTACTGCCGAATAATAGGATTACAGCATTGTAATGGGCGGTGACGGTCTTGATTGCTAGTTTGCGCTTCAGAAACAGAATGAAACAACTAACGACACATCGGATCACCTCAGTTTTTCCTTATTTTTCGCGATCAGGAGGTCCGGCTATAGGGCAAGTCCACAGGCTTCCAGGCTCTATGGTCGGACTCCTGTTTTATCTATTCGCTTTTCGTGTGCAGACTGAACATTATGGACAGCCGTTTGCAAAGCTGTTTTAGTTCAACGACTACTGCTTAACGCCACAGTGCGCTCTCCGAAAGTTATCAGAAGAATGCTGAGATATGGGCAAAAGCCGTTTCCCGGGGAGACTCGAATTCGCATCTTCCACTTACCGGGCAGTTTCACTGAACATTACGTTAGTGCGGCCACTCTCACCCTCCCTCTTCAACTCAATGGCTTTTTTTGCGCCATTGCCTTCCAGCACTCACATGTCTAACGTGATGAGCCAGTCAGCCGATATCGGTAGTGAACCGCGTGGAAGGCTTTTTAGATGCTTTAAAGCTGTTTTAGTTGATAGCTGCTGTTTATCACGTCTTTCCACGCGTTAACAGCAGTTATCAAAACTAAACAGTTTGAAAGATCAAACCCTTCCAGCGTTCTGCGTTACACTGGCCGATTCGGCTGACTGGCTCATTACGTTAGACGTGTGAGTGCTAGAAGGCAATAGCACAAAAAAGCCTCTGAGCTGAAAGGTAAGCAATTCCGCGCAGCTAGTGTCCAACTCACGGTTAACTTGTGCTGCGCCTTTTCGTTGTATGATACCCGATTTTAAGATCCAGCGCTGGTTTTAATATAACAGGGATTCTTCTCCCTCTCTGCAGTTTTTTTTTGGTCTAGCGGACATCTGGCTAGATTTGTGACTAAATGTACTAACTTCTAAGCAGTATGGAAGCCAGCAACCCCCCCCCCGCCCCTCCCTGCTTTAGGATGCGTTTATACTTTGCGGCAGCGTAGCGTAGCGCTTCCAGGTACGCCAGCGGCAGTGTCGGGGAAAGGATAGATATCGATCTAGCGTTCCAGTGCCAGCGTAGCGTGACGCTAGCGCACGCTAGCGTAGCGAGGGCACGGGAAGCATAGCTATCGATCTAGCGCTCCCAGCGTTTCACGAGCGTTTCACTAGCGTTTCGCTAGCGTTTGCAGCGGCAGGGCTAGAGAGTATAGAAGAGTAGGAGAGTACAAAATACTCTCCTACTCTTCGATACTTTCTAGCGTAGGAGAGCATTTTGTACTCTCCTACTCTTCTACTCTCTAGCGTAGGAGAACATTTGGTATTCTCCTACTCTTCTATGCTCTCTAGCCCCGCCGCTGCAAACGCTAGCAAAACGCTAGTGGAACGCTGGAAGTGCTACGCTACGCTATGCTACGTTACGCTGCTGCAAAGTATAAAGCCTTGCTTTCCTGTAAATTCTCCGTCTTCTTTTCGTAGCGATGACCTAATAGTTAGGCCCTGACGCGTAACTGTTTACACTAGTAACTCCCAATGTGGTGCAAATAGCAAGGCTGAGAGAATCGGTTCGGTAGTTTTCGGCCGTTTTCTTGTTACTTCGACGTCAATTCTGGCATGCAGCTATTATAGGTCTAGAAAGACAATTTGAAAACCGTGAGCCACGTGAGTTCAGGAAGTCAGGGTCTATACACTACCCCCGAAAATTGCGCATGAAATC